AGGCTATTGTGTCGCTTTCTTGCATTCTTCAACCATCCTTGCCACTCCCACGGGACTAATATGAATGGCAAATGCTGCCCAACAGAACAGGTTACTATGCTCTTTTGGTTGCTTCCCCTAATCAAAGCCGTTCACAAATTTGACAAGTATGTCCCAAGCCAAGAGTGCTCCCTCGATAGCACTTTCTTTCACCTACTAGGCTTCTCTTAATATAAACAAACCGACAAATGTTACTCTTCTTGTTCGCAACATACCTCTTCTAAGCATCTGCCCATGCAGATTGGGAAAATTGCTTTAACATGATACCATTTGTCACGGCCAACAGCTTCTTGGCTAAATAATACCCTGCGCGGCACCTAGTGAGCTAGAGCACCAAGCCAGCCTTCCTTAGATCATTCCTAAAGACAATATGATGAATTGCATCATCACATCAGATTGTACACGTTCAATTTAGCTTGGGCATCCGGTCCTTCGAACGAGATATACCATCGCATCATCAAGGAAACGATAGTAACTCCCGATCAATTTTGTGCATGGGAGGCCAACTTCCTCCTTTAGAGATCCTCGAAGATAATAATTGCCACATCCTTGGATCCTAGCAAAAACACTCTGACACTACTTCCATGAACTAGTTGTACAAACCATTTTGCGTCTCTCACACTTCACTTCGATGCCACAAAATCCCACTTTCAACCCACATGGGTACGGGAGAAATTGGACCATGACACTTGCCCATATAAAATGACAATACGGTAGAGACCCTTGCTAGGGCATTGCCCACCCTCAACGAGCGTTAATGACCCTTGCATTCCAGTCATGAGGGTTCACCACCTTAAGCGAACCCCTACAGGTGTCCTGAAAGGTCTCCAATCCTCCCGACTTCTAGGCAGGGTTAGGCTATGTTGAGAACTCCAGTTAGCAATTAAACGGTGTTAGCAACGGTATATGACGAAAAGACTTTGATTGAACAAACTCCTATGAATAAAACACGGGAAAAGTGCCAAAAAAGTCATAAACCTTTTGCATTAGTGCCAATTTAGTCCTAAACCTTTTTTTGGTGCCAATTCAGTCCTAAACCTTTTGCATTGGTGCCAATTTAGTCCTAAACCTTTTTTTGGTGCCAATTAAGTCCTAAACCTTTTAAATTGGTGCCAATTCAGTCCTAAACCTTTTATTTTTGTGCCAATTTAGTCCTTCCGGTCAATTTAGACCGGAATTTGCCTACGTGGACGCCTGCCGGCCGGCGGCCGGTCACCGGCGCCGACGTGGACAACTTTAATATTTTTTAAATATATTTTGAATTTTTATTTTTTTTTCCTTTTTTTTCCACTTTTTTTTTCCACTTTTTTTTTTGGTTGTCTTCCTCCTTCCTCTGGCTGGTCGCCGGTCCGGCGACCGGCCAGAGGCCAGAGGCCGGCGAGGGCGGCCTCGCCCTGCGAGGGCGAGCCTCGCCTTGGTCGGGCGGCGAGGCTCGAGCCCTCGCCGGAGGCCGCGGCGAGGGCGAGCCTCGCCATGGTCGGGCGAGGCCCGACCTCGCCGGATCCTGGCGAGGTCGAGCGTCGACCTCGCCGGATCCGGCGAGGTCGAGCCTCGCCAGATCCGGCGAGGTCGAGCCTCGCCCGACCAAGGCAAGGCTCGAGCCCTCGCCGGAGGCCGCGGCGAGGCGAGCCTCGCCATCGTCGGGCGAGGCTCGACCTCGCCGGATCCGGCGAGGTCGAGCCTCGCCCGACCAAGGCAAGGCTCGAGCCCTCGCCGGAGGCCGCGGCGAGGGCGAGCCTCGCCATGGTCGGGCGAGGCCCGACCTCGCCGGATCCCGGCGAGGTCGAGGCGTCGACCTCGCCGGATCCGGCGAGGTCGAGCCTCGCCCGACCAAGGCAAGGCTCGAGCCCTTGCCGGAGGCCGCGGCGAGGGCGAGTCTCGCCTTGGTCGGGCGAGGGCTCGAGCCTCGCCCGACCAAGGCGAGGCTCGCCCTCGCCGCGGCCTCCGGCGAGGGCTCGAGCCTCGCCCTCGCCGGCGAGGTCGCCCTCGCCCGGTGGCCGGCGAGCTCTCGGCCTCGGCCGGTCGCCGACCGGCGACCGGCCGAGGAAGGAGGAAGACAACCAAAAAAAAGTGGAAAAAACGGAAAAAAATAAAAATTCAAAAAAATATTTAAAAAATATTAAAGTTGTCCACGTCGGCGCCGGTGACCGGCCGCCGGCCGGCAGGCGTCCACGTAGGCAAATTCCGGTCTAAATTGGCCGGAAGGACTAAATTGGCACAAAAATAAAAGGTTTATGACTGAATTGGAACCAATTTAAAAGGTTTAGGACTTAATTGGCACCAAAAAAAGGTTTAGGACTAAATTGGCACCAATGCAAAAGGTTTAGGACTGAATTGGCACCAAAAAAAGGTTTAGGACTAAATTGGCACTAATGCAAAAGGTTTAGGACTTTTTTGGCACTTTTCCCAATAAAACACCGCATCATATGAATAGTAAGTAGGGAACAAATCTGAACAAATAGCGGAAAATATCTTTTGTGAACCGGAAAATCCACGTTAGGGAAAATGACTACCTATCTTTATAAAACGGAAATCGATTTCCACGCAATCTGGTGACACCCGCTTGTTCACCAACCCAAATCATGGCGAGTCTCTTGGTTTCTTCCTCAATGTGATCCGGATGCGAGATGACCTTCTCTCTAGCTATTATTATGTTCTTCATTTCTTTTTGAGCTAATATCATTAAAAACCTCATACTAGTACACCCGTGCTACATTAATCTCAAACTAAGTTTTATGTCATAAAAACCACCCAAATTGATACACACGTGCCACATTTACCCAAAACTATTTTTTGTATCATAAAAAATCTTAAACTAGTACATTCATGCTACATTTACCCCAAATTGGTACATTCGTGCCACATTTACCCCAAATTATGGTAATTCTGAAATTTTTTTGGATAAATGTGACATGAGTGTATCAGTTTGGGTAAATGTGACACAAATGTACCGATTTGGGGTTTTTTACTGCACAAAATCAATTTGGGTAAATGAGGCATGGGTGTACCAGTTTGAGAGCTTTTCCGACGCAAAAATTAATTTAATGTAAAGGTGGCATGAGCGTACGAATTTGGAGTTTTTGTAGGTATTAACCATTTCTCTTTTATCTCTCGGACACTCGTTGTCCCTGCCCAACAGAGATAGTAGTGCAGTTGGAGACGATATTGGCATCCAAGAAGGCAATTATGACCTGTGTGGCGGTGCTTGGCGGCACGGTGCCGGTGAAGGCCAAGGGCCGATTGATCTGTGGGAGGGCTTGGTGTGGGCACAAAGATGAGGCATCCTAATTATTGGAGAAAAGTACCAAAAAAGTCATAAACTTATTGCATTTGTACCAATTCAGTCTCAAACTTTTCAATTGGACCAATTTAGTTCTAAAACTTTTCACATTGATACCAATTTAGCCCATCCAGCCAATTTAGGCCGGAAATCGTTGACGTAGGCGCTAGCCGACCGTCTGACGTGGCACTGCCGGCGCTGACGGAGACAACTTTTAATAATTTTTTGAATTTTTTAATAATTTTTTTCCTTTATTTTTTTTCTCGGAGACCGGCCACAGGCAAGGGCTGGACCCTCGTGGCTTGGGCAAGGGTGACCCTCCTCTAGGCCACGAGCCGCGAGGGCGACCCTCCCCTATGGCCGGCGAGGGCCACAGAAATAAAAGCAACCTTTCCTTTTTAAATGGCGAAAAATAACTTTTCAGTTCATTTTCAGATTTCAATCAAACGCCGGAAAATATTGTTATTTTCCTCAAAACTACTTTTTCAAAAACAATTTTCAGAAATATCAAATTTTCCACGAAATAAACAGAGCTAATACATCATCCTCAAGTAAAACTTTTCAAGCTCAAAACCAGTTTTCTACTTTTGATCTACCAAATTTCCTTTATTTTTTTGGGTTAAAACCACGAAAAACCTCAAACTGATATACCCGTGACAAATTTAGCCAAACTGATTTTTTGACCACGAAAAATCTTAAACTATAACATCGGTGATAAATTTACCTTAAACTAATTATTTGATTCACCAAAAATTTTAAACTGGTATATTTGTGATAAATTTACCCTTTGTTAAATTGAATTAATATAACAAAAATCACAAACTATTATACCTATGACAAACCAATGGTAAAATCTCAAACTGGTAGACTCGTCAACTGCCACATGTCATCAAACTCAGCAATTTGACAGTAAAATTTAACGGAAACTAACGGAAGGTAAAATTGTCACAGATGTACTAGTTTAGGGATTTTGGTGGTCAAAAAATTAGTTTTGAGTAAATTTGTCACATGTATATCAGTTTGGGGTTTTTGTGGTATTAACCCTTTTTTTCCCTTGCACGAGCATCTAAATTCTTGATTTGTCAAACTTCAAAGGAAAATAATTAATGAGTATATTTGTGTAACTATGCATAAATTCCATTATTTCTTCTCTCCTATTTATTTTGTTATTCATTTCCTTTCGAACTTTTACTTTCTACACGATTTTTTTAAAATTATATTCCTAGAAATTACATTTAAATAAATACAATCCATTGAATAATGTACCCGAAACTTGCACCTACATGAATTATGGCACATTTTAAACAAAGTCGCAACTCTCTTATTTCTTTTTTCTTTTTAAGATTTGACTAATGCTTTTTTCTCTTTCTTTGAGTTTGGGATTAATGTGGTGCGAGCTGGGCACCGCATCCACAATTTGCACCATATATATGACTCGAAATTTTGTCAAAGTAACAGAAATTACAAAACATAATGCGTTTGTTTCATTGAAAAAGTTCTTCACGAATTAGTTTTCCGAACTTTTGACTTTTTTGATGCGTTGAAAATGATTAGTAAGTGAAAAATCGCTTTTCAGGCAACAGAAACACCCATACTCAAAACAACGAAAATGAATTCCTCGTTATGAGCAAGGGTAATCATTTTCATCATAACATACCACCAGACAAATGAAAACTAAACATTTTCCTTGAAAATGAATTTCACGGAAAATGTTTTCCTTCATCACGTAGTTTTTCACGAAATAAGCACACCCTTTAATACAATAGATGACAACTATTAATATCAGCGAACTAAAATCCAAGAGAGCCCAAGCTAGCTTCCACGGTTTCAACCGATGGCAATGCAGATGATGGTCTGGCGGAAGCCTGAACTCCAGAAGGAACATTGTTCTGAATATTCTGAACCGATAATTATAGAAGTGCTCGAGGCTAATCGACAGCTAAGGAATTAGGAATTGGTTGGCTTTGCCTTTGTGGCTGCATAACTTGAAATGACATACAATATATACAAGTTATGTTAGCGAATCAAGAAACCGGATCGGTACATGCACAGCAGAATGAACTGCAAATAGCACAAAGAGATGAAAGGAATGGGCGATAGATGCACCGCGAGGATGACCGTTAGAGCACTACGTAATTAATCCAACTTGAAACTTTCCGAGCAAGCGAGATACTGGATGGGTAATAAATGCGCAAAAACCAAGATACACTGACCACTCATTTTCTTTTCAGCAAGTACAGAATGAAAATCTTTGTGAAGTTCGTGTACTCGAATTGATCTTGAAATCTTAAAGAAAACAATAACATAAAAGTGAAAGGTGAATCATCTTTTGCAAGCATGCATCTTGCGATGTCACAAGCGAGACTCACTTCTAACTTAGAAAATTCGAGGCAAAGAAGTGGGAGGAAGTTACAGAAGATGCAAGCGTTTGGCCTTTTCTAGTTAAACTGAAGTTTGCTGCCACTCTTTGAAAAACTTGTTCCTCACAGATGCATATCTGATTCTATGAAGGAAAAAACCGAGATCTTTCCGTTCTTAACTCAATAGGTTACAAATGAAACAAAGAAATTCAAATGTGCCACTGCCCATGGTATAAATGTGCATTTGAGGTTACAAATGAGCAAGATTGGCAAAAAGAAATTAACTTTCGGGGTACTAAAACGAAAATCCCCCCAAAAATACCATGTGCCAATGGAGCATTTACTCTATCAATAAGCAGCATGGCTCGTAGTGGGTATATAAATGTGTACTATGTAAAGCCCAAAAAAAGGACAGTTCCGGGGCAAGTCCTAAAATTTGTCACGCTACTGTGCTTAAGTTCTAAAACTTTCATTTCGTGCATTTAAGTCATAAAACTTGCAATGTGAATGCACTTGAGTCATTCTATTAACTCAGTCAATTTTAAGTGGACTAAAATGCCAAATGACTTTTCTTATTATCTTTTAATCCTACATGGCTATTAATTAAAAAAAAATGCCACGCAGATTTTCCGTCCACTAAAACCTAACGGAGCTAACGGAAGAGCTAAAGAGGATGACTGTCACAAATTTTAGGGCTTAAGTGCACAAAATGAAAGTTTTAGGACTCAAGCGCTCTATCATAACAATTTCTAGGACTCCTGCTGTATGTCCCCCAAAAACAATGTATAAGAGAAAAACATAGTACAAGTACATAAATGAAAATATGTGTAAGAAGAAATATACATATCTGTAAATATATAAGGGGATAACAAAACAGAAATTCTAATTCCTACATCAATGGTATCAAGTAACAGGAACTTAAGTCGTACCCGAGTCCTCACTGTTATTCCCAGCACGGTTAGTTAGATGGCAAAGCATTAGGTATGGTACTCTGAGACTTTGGCTCCATTGTCAACATCTTCGATGATATCTTCCTTAAATAATCGGACTAAAAGGGAAAAGAAGCAGAAATCACTAAATCACTTCATAACAGACCAACAAATTAAATAATCAAATTACAAAGAAAATGAAGCAGATATCAGTTTCAAACTATAACTTAAAACTTAAGTACAATATCACAGCACTGAGCAAACCCGATTTCACTGGTGCAAAGGTAAATTTAAATAGTTAAACAGTTCCAGTTACTATATAAATGCACGAATCATAGAAATTCCCAACAAATTATGCGAATAAAAGAATGATTCTCTAAATATTTTAAGCACAAGCCTATCCAGTTTGTTTATGCGTCCTCTATCCACATAGAAACATCATACAGAATAAGTACACACTAGCTCCCGGGCGACTTCATATCAAAGAGAATGAAACACACGTAGTGGACATGGACATCATATGGTACCTGGTCTGTTGCAGCATTGTAATTTTTTTCCTCAAACCTCACCGCAATTTTCTTGAGTTCTTGCAAACCCTCTGGACCAGAAACAGGAAGATGTCTCTTCAAAGTCTCCATTCTGCGTATCAAGAGAGATTTGCACTTCAGCTGAAATTATTTCTGGCCAATAATTTCTTTCTCAATGACAACTAAGATTTCATTAAGAAGTACCAATGTGTAACAGAGCTGAAATTAAGTAATCCTAATAATGTCATAAAATCTAATGCATAACAGATAAAAGATCCAGTGGAAGTGGCATATCGTTCAACAAACTATGAATAGCTTTCTCCTGGATAAGAAAGCAAACCAAGAAATGACTCAAAGGAACACATACAAGAATTCACAAACCTATAAAACTTTGGTAACACCTAACCCCAAACACATTAATAGAATCTTGTTCTATTACAAGGGTATGGGCCGGAGTTCAAGCGTTGCACCTCAAGGTAGGTGAAGAAGAAGTTTACTGCAGAAAACCTTTGGACCATAAACGCCTATAACAACTTTAGTGACGCTATTGAATTGGAGAGGGGAAAAAAAGATAATGGCCCACGTACCACTTCCAGTAACAGCATATACGAACTAAATAAATTTGAGATTGATAAAAATAACACAACCTACAAGCAATAAGATGCTTAAAAATCCTTAGGTTCCGGATAAGTAATTTTGTTTTTCGTCACGAGCATAACAGGAGATCATCCGGTAACTGTTTTCCTGCCAGAAAGCCACACAGCCTTACCTCTGCAATTACGTTCGTCCACATACTATGGTAAACCCTACTGATTTTAAACAAAAATAGAAGACAGTCCATTTCAATGAAGAAAGGAATACATCCGAATTAAGATGGGACCTAAGCAAAACCATCATCTTATGCTATATGACCAGTTGACCACCAATATAACAAGAGCTATCAGCCTACATACCCGCTGAATCCCACGACAAAACTTAACCAAGACTAAACTATCGAACGAGAAAAAAGTAACAGAGAAGAAGGCTACCGCAGAATTTATGTCGCCCCTCCACCAAAGAACATGACCATTTGTAAAACCATGACTTCTTTAACATACTCTAAACCCTTGGAAATCGTCCCTAAGCAACGATCCATCATAAACTCCACATATTCCATACGAAAACGATTAAAAAAAAAAAAATAACCCAAGCGAAGGATGGAGGAGGACTCACATCTTGTTGATAATCCTCTCCCGCGATTCGGGCGGCAACTGAGCCCTCCAGTCGCCCCCATCAAGCGGAGCTCCAGTGCCGCCGACGCCGCTGGTATCCATCATATCCACTCCTCAAAAACCTCGACAACCAACAACCAGCACGGGACTTAACACAAGCAATAAACAACAATCAGCACACACCCACCCCAATACAATCAACGCCGATTCAAGAACCCGAACCCACAAATCCTCCCACGTTCCCACAAGAGCCCTCGAAAACCCAAAGAACGGTCGATGAATAGCGAAAGAAGAGTGTCGAGCTCACCTTCGGGAGGAGACGGAAGGACTTTTGGCCGAAAGATGATGAAGAGAGAGCGAGACGCTAGTGGATATGCTTGGGCTAGAGGGTGCAATGCATTTGGACTTCGTTCGTTTATCATTTAAGAGCCCCACAAGGTGGTCGATGACTCGATGTCCAAAGCAAAGCAGCAAGAAGAAGAATAAGATTCGCCGCCATAGGTGTGGCCAGCGGCCACGTGTCCCTTCCTTTTGTCGTGTCTTGTCGATGGATCGGTCCCGAACAACTCGGCCCGATTTTTTTGGACCATAACGTAGGAAATTCCAAGCAGGGCTGAGTAAGACGGACTGCTCAAATCAAGATCAGATCAGACTGGATTGGACCGGATCAATCGGTTTGGTTCAGTTCTCGAGAACATTGATCCGGTTCTAAGTTCGTAAAAGTAAAACTGATTTCCGGACGATCTGGTTCCCGATTCTAGGGTGCGAATCGGACCGAATCGATAAATATATATTTTTAATTTTTTCATATATATATATATATATATGAAAAATATTTAATATTGGTCCCATTGGAACCAATTGTTCAATTTTTTTATATATTATATATATTTTTCTAATTTTTTCCATTGTCTTATGGGATCAAATCAGAACTATAAAGGAAAGAACGGAGCAATCGGTTCTCGGTTTACAAATAATATTTAATATTGATCCCATTGGAACCGGACCGGACTATCGATTCGGTCTGGTCTATTATCCCAAGACTAGCCGGTCCGATCTCCGGTCCTAGAAATTGGGAACCGGTCCTCCCGGTCCAGTTCTCGGTTCTTGGGTTGGACCGGACCGGACCGGACCGAACCGAGAACCGCTCACCACTAATTCCAAGTAAACTGGAGAGCAGCGAATCTTGACAAGCTCGAGCTTGATGGTCCTGATCCACGATACCGATCTTGCCTTTCTGCTACAGCTTGAACGTTCCTCAGAGACAAATGGGTCGAGATATACGTGCGCATCTCGAACTAAAGTTCTCTGGACGCTCGAGCCCGAGTAAATTTTTTTTTCGACAAGTTAAGACAAGCCTAAGATGAATGCTGCTTATAGGAGAAATACTTTCCAACGTATTCGTACCTCGTGTGGGACTTACCTTATATATAAAACCACCTTTCGAATATAGTGTGTAATCTAAGATGACCCTAGTGACCCTTGAATAATGGGAAAATCGTCCAAAAAGTCATAAACATATTGTACTTTTTTGTCAGTTCAGTTCTAAACTTTTATTTTTGTCAATTAAGTTACAAACCTTTCAATTATTTATCAATTGAGTCAATCCAATCAATTTTACCATGAAATTGTTGACTTGGACGTTGGCCATTTTACGTGGCACAACTGGCACTGACATGGACATTTTTAATTGTTTTTTTACTTTTTAAATATAATTTTTATGATTTTTTATTTTATTTTGCCTTCTTTTTTTCCTATTCTTTTTGCCAATGGTCATTAGCTAGTCACGCAAAAAGAATAGAGAAACAAATGAAAGGGAAAAAATAAATAAAATAAAATAAAAATCGAAAAAAATATTCAAATAATTTTTAAATTAGAAAAAAATAAGACTAAATTGGCACAATTGCAATAGGTTTAAGACTTACGTCAATCAAATTTATCCATAAGTGGTTTTAACTTTCTAGCTCACCAAGATAACTGCCACTTGATATTGGTACCTCCATTCGACATCCCTGATCGATTCATTTTCCATGTTCCTCATGCCCAACACTAAGTAAAATATTTTGCAATAAGATAGTTCTGCAAAATCTTTTAAATTTTAATCGTTTATCACATTTTCTAGGCCGGATTTCTTATCCGGCATTTTATCCAAGTATATCTAGTTGATCCAATCCAAAGGACTTTGCTAAACACCGGATAGAATAATTTGTTATCCTCTCCGGACTTAAATCGGGACTACCAAAACGCAGCATGGAAATCCATTAGGATTCTTAATTAGTTATGTTACGATTAAGGAAATAGAAAAGATACGAAACGACAAAAAAAAGTAAGTTTTTAAAGGCTCCTAGAAAGCAATAAGTTTTTAAAGGCTCCTAGAAAGCAATCATACATACATTCAATTTTTGTTTCGAAGAAACTATTTAAAGAAACAAAGCGCTATATATAGATATATGCATATATTATAGGTTACAGATGCTTCTGCACTATATATTGAGTGTTTTTTCTCCTCAAATCACCAATTTTAAACAATTTGATTTCATATAATGATTATACATTATCTCTACAATTACAGAAAAAGATGCACCGCTTTCTTTCTAATTGGTTTTTGCTTCATTTTGGAGGAGGCATATAATCTACCTAAGATTGTTTGTTTTAGTTGTGCGTAACAATGCTAACTAGTTTTGAGTTAAAAGTTTCAGATAAATAAAGAATTCTTCAATCTCTCTATGCTATGAAGGAAATTGATAGCGTTGTTCAACTTCATATTTCGGCTCAAGAATTTCAATAAAATACTTGCCTACTCTAAGACAAATAGCAAAGCAAAAGTATATACTAAAAACTTGACAAAAAGATAAATTTTTTTGGTCAAAACAAAAAGATTATTCGAAGATAGTCATTTAATTCGTGCATAACACAAGTCACCCCATCACTTGAAATATCATACCCTTGTCATAAATTTCTCAAAGATTTAAAGTTACTTATAATTTCCTCATACTACCATAAATTGGATTCATTTATTAAAATAACCTAAATCACTTTTTTTTTCTTGTATCAAATGTTCATGTGCATGTTTGTGTGTTATATAGGTTGGTGTGTCATGTAGTATTTAATGACAATTAAAATCTCCCCATTATGTTAAAAAGACCAAGCTACAATGACAATAATATTCGAAATCTGATTTGTGTGGATTTCGGTGATCTGATTTGACTTCTACGTCAATCCACCAACACCTTCATAAAACCGTCCGAGTCCCTCAAAATCTATTCATGGCGGAGAGACGGCGGCGTCCGGTTTCTCCGCCGGAGGCGGCGGAGGAGTTTGATCACATCAGCCGCTTGCCGGACACGTGGTGAAGACCAGCGTGCTGTCCAAGCAATGGCGTATCGCCTGGACCTCCACTCCATACGTCAATCTCTCCCCCTCAAAGGGCGCCTCGATCGGCACAGCACTGAGCCGCTGCACAGCCGCTCAGCTAGATAAGTTCCATCTCGATGCTGCTAAGCCTGAGATCAACATCCTCACCAACACCTATCGGTGGATTCTCTCCGCCGTGCAGCACAAAGTGAAAGACGCTTCGTTGGTCTTTGCAGATTACAATTTCCGCGCACCAGAGTTCTTGTGCAGTTGCGCTTCGCTGGTGAGCTTGCGAGTGTCGAACTGTATTTTTTCACCGGATATTACCTTCCACTGGCCTTCCCTTAAGAAACTGTGCCTTCACGACGTCCCCTTGCAAGAGGATCAGATGATGGATATCTTGAGCGGGTGCCCTGTTCTTAATTGAATCTCTTAAGTTGCAGCGTTTGCGTTCCTCGCGCGGCACATGCAATCTCCGGATCGATTCAAGATCTCTGAGAGAGCTAGTGATTGAGTACTTTTATATACTGTCGCTTGATGTTTCGGCTCCGAATCTGCTTTCGTTGTGTTTGTCGGTCTTGTTTGTCCTCACAGGCTTTAGACTAAATGGAGCATCATCATTAGAAGAGGCTGAGTTGAACTTTGACACGCCGACTGATTTCCGTGGCGACTTTCCTGAACGATTGAAGTTCCTTCTTGAGCAGCTGCAACATGTCGCGAAAATCACTATGGGAAGCTGGTGCATTGAGGTGCGAGCTGATTTTCCTTATTACTTAGATTACTTCCTCTTCTTTACGTAATGTTCGGCTATAAATACCCGTAACTGCGACACGAGAAAATCAAGCCTCGAGTGTTTTCTATCTTCCTCTCTCTTGAGAGCAAAGGCTGCTGCTGCATGTTGTGCCCTTCTTGTCCCTGGAAGCTGGGGCCGATCCATTTCGCTCTTAAAGCTTTGACTCTTGGTAGAAATAGAAAGTAAAGCAATGGTCATATCTTGTTATGTTAGTGGGTTCACAATTTTAGTTGTTTTCAGGTTCTATCAGTTGCAGAGGCAAAGGGAACGCCGCACCTGTCATCGAGATGGCGCAATATCAAAGTGTATACTACAGTTTGTAAACGCGATCTTCTAGGGCTGGCGTACTTGCTGCAGAGTTCTCCACTCCTGGAAAGGCTAGTCATATGCAATCCAAAATCCAATAGATTCATGGTATTTATCCATCTTTGGTTCTGGACACAGTTAAATATATGCTTTCTGCAAGTACAATCAAGTCTCTCGTGGCAATTTATGTTTTACACGTTTGCATTTACTTGCATAAACGAACCAGAGCAGACAAGCTTGTTTGTTTTGCATTTTTCTTTATACTTAATGTCACTGCTACGTTATAGCTTCTCCTAATTAGCTCTGAAAAAGCTACTGTCGATGTGTGGTTTCGGTTCAAGAACAAGGATTTTCCGGAGCTCGGCGACTTTGATGAAAAGCAATTCTGGCGCTCACAGAAGGAGTTCTATTGCGTGGCAAATCATCTCAAAAGGGTTGAAATTGTCGGGTTCGTATTTTACTACGGAGGATCGATACTTTTGCTTGCGCTGGCTAAGTTTCTTCTCGAGGAGGCAGTTGGATTGGAGAAGATGATAATAGACGCTGGATGTTATTTGTGGCGTTGCCGTTACCGTCGAGGACTACCCGCTAACCGTCATGATCGTCGCCGTCAAGTAGTACCCACCGACCCTCATGATCTTCAGGATTTCCACGACGTGATTCAGCTGCAAAAGGGCTGTCGGAGAGCTTCTCGAAATGCTGAAGTTATAGTCAATTACCGTTTCAATGGACTCCCTTACGAGTTATGGAAGCATAAGATAATCACAGGTCAGCTCAATCCTTGATTTGCATGACCTTAGGTAGCTTTGGCTTGGAAATGAAATTGCTCGTCTCTTTTTGCTGTCACTTTTGACAGTGTGTAAATAAGTTGGGTTTACCAAATGCTTTGATGTCGCTTCATTCTGGGCTTTTAGACTTTGGGAATTCGTTTGGATCGAGCTTCTCTGACTTTCATTAGCAATTTTTCTTTATGAAATCTTGAGTTTTCCATTACATTTCGAGTTATGTATGATTTAATAATGTGACGGCTTCATGTAACAAGATAACAAGACCTCTGTATATGTTCATTAGGTTGTGAAAATGATTTACTTTTTCTACAAGGACGAGTTCAACTTTACCTATTTCTGCAAAGGAGGATTTAAATGTTGAACTTTTACCATTAAATACCATAAAATATCCTTTGGCGCATTATAACCTCATAATACTAATTGTGAGGTAAATTCCCAGCCTATTATATATAGTTAAGGTTGGAGCTGAGAGGATACTTGCTCCTGTGTTCGTGAGGTGGCACGTCGCTTTTCCTCTACGATTGCCACATAGCAAGACACATGGCATAGTCTTGCCATGTGGCGCGAATTAGACCAATAATCTTTTAGCGTATTCATTTATCATCTCCTTCCCTTTTATCTTTAATTTAAATTTCAGAAAATGGATAAAGTAAAAGCATATAAAAAATTTGTTATTCTTGGGTTTGAAATCGGAAAATTGGAGAAAGTGTCTTCAAGTATAAATTCAACGAATTCTCTTTAACCAAGAAAAATATAGGGTTGATACAACGAAAAACTCCAAACTGGTATACCTGTGACAAATTTACCCCAAACTAATTTTATGACAAAAAAAAACCTTAAACCGGTACGTCTATAATAAATTTACCTTTCGTTAGTTTTCGTTTTGGAAATTTTTGGAAATTTTTATTTTCCTTTTCCTTTTCCTTTTCTTTCTTTTCTTCTTCTTTCCTTCTTTTGTTTTTTTTTTATTATGGCCAGCGAGGCTAGCCTCGCCTAGACCTGGGCAAGGCTGGCCAAGGGCGTTGCGGGCCTCGCCTAGTGGCCGGTGAGTGCCCGACGGCCACACCAAAAAAATAAAAGAATGAAAAGAGAGGAAAAAAATATAAAAATCGAAAAAATATTAAAATATTATTAAAAATTATCCACGTCAGTGCTGGCTATGCCACGTAAAACGACCAATGTCCACATCACCGATTTCTGTCCAAAATTGGCTGGATGGACTCATTTGACAAAATGTGAAAAGGTTCAGGACTTAATTGGCACGATTAAAAAATTTATGACTAAATTGGCAAAAGTGTAATATGTTTAGGACATTTTAGACAATTTTTCCTATTTTAAATAGGACATAAACCCACACGTTGAATGGGAAAGGAAATAATTGTATAAATTAGAAGGGAAAATATTAATCAATCAAAATATTATAATCTGGTGACATCGGCAAATAACTTTTTTATCATGACAAAGGAAAACAACATTGCAATTCTTTACTTGGAAAGTTCATAATTCTATCAATGGACAAGTGCGTATTATGATAACTCTGGACAAGTGCATAAATTGATAACTCTATTTTATCTCTCACGTATTTCGATTTCAAATTATGAATTTTGTCTATCTTATAAACAATTTTAGAAAGAGAACACAAATTTTGCAACACTGCTTTCTCCCCACATGTATGTGCACAAGTTTCTTCATATTTTGTGAATAACTTCTTACCATTAATTTATAACCCAAATATTTTCATAATAAGATCGTTTTGCAAAATCTTTCAAATTTCAATCTTTTGCATACACACAACCCGTGTGCACCTTATAGCAAGTAACAATAAATAAATAGAAAAAAAATCCTTGATGCTGCACAATTTCGTAAAAGAATTGCGCGTATATGTAATAAGAAAAAGTAAATTGCAATAAATGGAAATCCATTAGGATTCTTAATTAGTTATGTTATGGTTAAGGAAATAGAAAAGATATGAAACCACAAAAAAAAGGTAAGTTTTTAAAAGTTCCTAGAAAGCAATCGTAAATACATTCAATTTTTGTTTCAAAGAAACTATTTAAAGAAACAAAGTGTTATATATAGACGTGTGCATAGGTTACAGATGCTTCTGCACTATATATTGAGTGTTTTTCCCCTCAAATCACCAATTTTAAAAAATTTGGATTCAAATAATGATTATAGATTATCCCTACAAGTATAGAAAAATAAGCATCGTTTTCTTTTTTTATTGGTTTTTGCTTGATTTTGGAGGAGGCATATAATCTATCTAAAGATTGTTTGTTCTAATTGTGTGTAAATAATGCTAACGAGTTTCGAGTTAAAAGTTTCCAATAAATAAATAATTCTTCCATCTCTCTATACCACAAGGGAAACTAAAAGCCTTTTCCAACTTCAAATTTAAATATTCCACCGTTTGTCACGCCCCGCACCTACGAGCGCGCGATCATCCCTCGATGGTCGATCATTGAATGCGACGTCCCAGACACGTCGCCGACCCAACCCAAACATCAGAGATTAGGCACGCGCGGAAACAAATAGAAACAACCCGGACAATTAATAATGACACGGGGTAACAATAGCACGAAATAATAATTGTAATTCCTACACTTGGCAGATACATACGACGTCCACAGAAAGACAATCCCCAAGCTAGGCCACAACAACAAAATCACATTCCTCAAAAGGGGCAATGGTTTGCAAACTTAACTTCTCTACAAAGGGGGGACTCAAAATACCGAGTACTTGACCCGTCCTCGATCTCCGAGATACCCTTGCAGCGTCTCCAGTCACTCATGGTCGCGGATCTGAAATGGTTATATAATAACCATGAGAACGAGTCTCAATAAGCAACCCCTTATACCCCACGTAGGCTAATGCGTACCCAGACAAGTCGTACATGCAATCTACCCTATAACATATAAAATTCGCATCATTGTACTTACCTTGCCCTCGAATCACGAGCCAACCCTGCATATTAGTCCAAACATGACAATGCAAGAATAGTTCACCACCATATCACAATCACCCGGCACACACATTCCCACTCGCATTCAACCAATCCAACCAAGCAACCACACGTACATTTAACCAATCCAATCAATCACATCGCACACACGTGTCCAACCAACTTTCCTCTCACGGACCACCGTCAACACGTCTCAAGTCCGGTCTCATAGGCACACAAGCCACACAATTCGATCAATTTCAATGGCCGCCGTCAACACGTCCCAAGCCATACCATTCAATCAATTCCAGTGGCCGCCGTCAACACGTCCCAAGCCACACTTTCCTTTCACGGACCGCCGTCAACACGTCCCAAGTCCGTAGCCCTCCGATCAATCCAGGCTCAAATTCCAATGACCGACGTAAACACGTCCCGGTCCAACACGCCTTCAACGGGCCACCGTCAACACGTCTCAAGGCCGCATCCATTTGGCACATCGGCCATTCATGCCTTCACACGGACCGCCGTCCACACGTCCCAAGTCCGTAGCCCTCCGATCAATCCGGGCTTAGAATCGACAAGCAAGCACACGCCATTCAATTAAATCAATTTCACGCCAATTGCATCAAACAACCCATAATCACCACTCAGTCCAATTCACAATTCGCCACCTCAATCCACAAACCCGACATTCAAGTCGGCCAGCACAATTACCCAAATCAAGCACATCATTTAATCCAATTCAAATAGCGTAATTGTAACATAATATAATTAAATTAAAACACGCCCTAGCCGTTCTAAACCCGAGACAAGTCAATAAAGTACCCAAAATACTAGGTAGGGTTTAGGAAGTCACTTACCTAAGTTTGGCCCCGGAAAAGTCGGCTTGGGCCTAAAATGGCCCGGGTGAACAGTGCTGAACTAGGCACACGCGCGGGCACGGGTGCGGCGACGGGCGCGGGCGCGGGCACGGGCGCGGGCGCGAGCAAGGGGCACGGGCGCGCGGCTTGGTCGCGTGGGCGACGAGCCGGCCACGGCTGGGTTGGCTGGCCGAGGCGGCGACCGCGGCGCGCGGCGACGTCGTGGCGACGGCGGCAGCGAGCTGAAGAGGGAGAGGTCAGCCGGGGGTGAGGTTGAGGGAGAGAGAGAGAGAGAGAGAGAGAGAGAGAGAGAGAGAGAGAGAGAGAGAGAGAGAGAGAGAGAGAGAGAGAGAGAGAGAGAGATCGGGGCTGAGGGAGAGGGCGCGAACCGGCGGCGACGGGGCGGCGCGGCGGTGACTGGCCGGGCGGCGCAGGCCGGGCGAGTGGCCGGATGGGCTGGCCGGCGGCTCGGCGGGGCTCGGCTACTGGCGAGTGCAGCGGCGAGCTGCCGCTTGCTCGAAGGAGGGGAAGAGGACTGTTGGCCGAGGGCGGTGGCTGGCTGACGGCGCGGCGACAACGCGAGGAGGACAACGGCGTCGGAGGCTGGTGGAGCGGCGTCGGGCGGAGGCGGAGGAGCTGCGGAGACGGACAGAAGTCGGGGGAGAGAGGGGTGTGACCAGGTGACGGGGGCGGCCAACGGGACTGCAGGCAGCTGGCGAGCGGCGGTGTAGCTCGGTCGGGCTACGGTGGCGCGAGGCGGACGGCGGGGGCGGTCGGCGGCGACTGGTTGGGCGGGCAGAACAGAGGCAGAACCAGTCAGAGCCAAGGAGGAAGAAGGGAAGGAGAAGAAAGAAGAAAGAGAAAAAGAAAGAAAAGAGGAAAAAGAAGGAGAGAGAGAGAGAGGGAGAAAAAAAAGCTAATTTTTGTCTTCGACCGCGATCCAACGGACACGGTTCAAACTAAAAATCGATTTAACGATCACGATTCAAATTCGGAAAAAGATCTAACAGTCCACGAAAAATCCCAAATAATAATATAGGACAAAGGGCCAAAATAAAATAACTCAAAACACACTATGAGGGAGGTCTACTAGTCCAAATTCTCACCCGGTCAAAATTTCACTTTCTCACTATTCCTGATAATCTCGACGCTGGCCACAATAATATCGACACGGTCCAATTTATTTCGTCCCGAAACTCCCGAAAAGCGACTGCCAAGTTTGGTGTCTAAATAACGGCCAAATTCGATCGAGTGCGATTCTAGCGAAATCTCTAATTTAAAAATAATAACCCAGGAGTGATCAGTTCCGAGCCAGATTTTATTATAAGCGCAC